GGTGAATTAACGTAAAACTGAGCCGAAAGTAACGTTGACACAAAAAGATGTACGGATTTGAGTACCAAATATCTAAATTTAGTTCGATTCTCAATATTTCACTTCCTACATTTGAACTGTATATATTACGCGAACACGTGTCGGATACGTTAACTAGGTCGTATTTAGATAGCCGCCAATCAAAATCAGTTAAAACTGAATTACTTACATATTCATAATAATTACAAACCTACTTTCATCTAGGAAAGTAAAACTGAATAAATTCTAAAAAACAACCTACTTGAATCCCCAAATCGCACTTGGTCAAAAAAGATCTAATATCCATAGTTTTATTAACAAACGGTGTATAGTACAGTCATTAGGTAGTTTGACCTAGAAAGTTTTCCGGGAGTTCTGAAAATTGGTAATTTTATAGATTTTGGGGTGCTCTCTCCGAATTTTGACTTTGCCACCTCGTATTTATGCCGCTGGCGCCGCCATATTGGAAAAGTGGCGCCTAAAAGCAGTTTTTTAACAATATCTCCTTTCCAACTCATTTTACAATTAAAACAGTTATTACAAAATGAAACTAGAGACAATTGCCTACAATTTATTTATCTACCTTTTTTTTCATAAAGTCTTTATTTTTGGCGTACGAGCGCCGCAAAGTGTACTGCAACGCGCTCTCTGGTCATTATTCATGCAACCTGTGGCATTGAATTTCAACTCATTATATTTGTGAGTATACTGGCTATAGATATAATATTACACTATAATAGACCCATGATGTAGATGAAATACTGGTCTGTGACGTTTCGATTGGTACTACAAACGATGAATTTGCAACACCTGGTCCATCGAGAACAACAAAGCTAAGGAGAATACGCTTAATTTTAGCACATTGAATTGCATGTGGATTAACCTATTGGGGATACCACATTAAAAAAAAAGCGCCACTTACTCTAACTCAAGGTGTTGTGGAAATGAGTTTTTGGCCAAAATGCGCGTTGGAGTACACTTTGCGGCGCTGGTACGCCAAAACTATTGACTTCATGGAAAAAAGGTAGATACATAAATTGTTGGCAATAGGGAAGATGCATATATAATATTTATGAAAATTTTATGATTATAATGTTAAAAAAATATAAAAGAAATGCCACTGCAACGTTTTTATTTTACATAATATTGTTTTTTTAACAATTATTACGAATTAAAAATACTTGAAACAGAACGTATTTTAAAACACCAATCAGCGCTTAGTGACGTCACACCTGTTATGACAACTTCTTTGAGGTTATGGTTGTTAAAGTAAATATTATTTTATGGGAATATTAATTGCGTTTTTTTACATTTAATAAAAATGGAAGTTACGTTTATCAAAGCAGACTCCAGGAATTTACCAAGAGTTCGTGTTGACATGGTTATAACTTTTTTTGTCCAAAGTGCAGAGTTTTTAAGTGTAGAAATGAAAGGGACTAAATTACTACGGTATGTAAAAATCGTAGTTGTTAAACTTCGTATTTTATTCAGCGGCTTCTACAAATCTTATGGCGATAATGCAATCGGCTATGTCCAAATTAAAAGAGATGGAGAATTATGTACAGTAAAAGGTCGAGTTCTCCGGAGCATAAAGTCCGTAAAGAAGGTTATCGTGTTACAGTTATTTTAAATGAAACGCAAAGCTTGGTTCAGTCCTGCCAATGTGAAGATTGTGCCACACATTTTAAAGTTTATCTAATTTTCAACGTCATTCTCCAACTGTAAAATTAAAAATATGTTATAGACAGGTTTTGTAAGTTAATACTTACAAAACCTGTCTATAACATATTTAGGTAGGTTACTAATGCGTTTTTACGTACAAGCAGATTAATTAAGCATATAACAAGTATATTCGCCGACTTACGTCAAAGTGATCTTCACAGCATCGAATAATGGTCATTTGAGAATAATTGTCATTTCTCTTTGCAGCTTGAAACCACTTTTTTTCAGTTTTGGGTCAGAAGTTCCAGTCAAAAACAATTTATTTGGGAACTTTGTTGAAGTAGATTGGCACAAAACATGAGTCAACACGGCTTTTTTCGGAATATTAGTGGTATTGTTATGATCACATGATGTTGATGGATAGTCTATTTTAAATTTTTCAAAAAAATATTTCGAAAGTCGAAAAAATATGCAAAAGTATGAAAATTTAAAGCCAGCGACGAACAAGTACGACCAGTGACAGACAGGAGTGACGTCATCGCAACCATAGGTTCGTTTTCGCGCGAAAATTTAAATTGTCAATTTAAAACCGCATTTTTTCCGATAAATCACAATGTTTTAATTTTTTAATGTATCTGTGGTTTATTCTACATGGAATTCTTTAAAATGAAAACAAAAATAAAAATATTGCATCTTCCCTATTGTCTCTAGTTTCATTTTGTATTAACTGTTTTTATCGTAAAATTAGTTGGAAAGGAGATATAGTCAAAAAACTGCTCTTAGGCGCCATTTTTCCAATATGGCGGCGCGAGCGGCAAAAATACGAGGTGGCAAAGACGAAATTCGGAAAGAACACCTCAAAAATTATAAAATTACCAATTTTCATAACTCCCGGAGAACTTTCCAGGTAAAAACATGTTCCTGTTCCTGTATTTAGATAATTTTAAACATGTTTAAAATTATCTAAATACAGGAAAACTTCTCTAGGCTGTGCACATATACCGTCCCATTACGGGAATGAATAGACGTCCCTTGAATAGGATGCTTCTCGTATTCAGTAGGACATCGGCAGCTTCATAGCCTGCAATTAGTTCCTGCTTCGTGGCAAATGTTGACCAAGCAACAATGTATTATTTACGCCTTTTGCACTACTAGTACAGTCATTTGGTGAGAAATATAGTGGTTACCTGAAAAGTTCTCCGGGAGTTTTGAAAATTGGTAATTTTATAATTTTTTGAAAAACTATAAATAACCTGCAAATGTCAATCATGATTGACATTTGAGGTTATTTATACTTTTTCTCTTGAAGAATACATCATAATGACTAATAAATTCAGATAGCAGCAAAATTAATTAGATCACTTTCCCTTATTACTTCGATTGGAAATAAGACGTTAATGGTTACTTGAAGATGTCCCCTTTAATTGTGACAATACATATTTTCGTATGCCAATCTAGAAAAGGAATCCAAGGAAATAGATAATTAAATCCCTAAGATTTGTTATTAAGCACAACACAAGTATAATTTGCCTCCCATAATCAAATTCGTAAATACATAATTTTCTGTTTTCTCTGATTTATCGATGCCAGAACTTAATAGTCCCCTAAGGACTACTTCAAGAGGAAAAGGGTTAAGCCCACTAAGACTTACTTGTTTGAGATTCAATACATCTCAATTAGCCATATATACCCGAAAGAAGGTGTGTATCCCTTTAAGTCTGTAAGAATAATACTTATCCATTAAGCTTGGGGCAGTCTTATAGTTTCTGATTAACAAAGTCTTGATAGATTTCCCGTTTAGTTTCTTTGATAACTGGAAGATCAGACCTGAGGCCCTAAGAAATGTAACATTAACTCCTTCCTCGATCTCTATTATTTTATACGTGGGAAAGGAATAAGCTTATGTTATATTGATTTGAAGGTGGTCACTGAAAGAGTTTAGATTCAATATAAAGTACAAGAATGGTCCTATTTTTTTTGCCTAGTCAACCTTTCGTTCCTGACTTCAAAAACATTTCCATGGAACTGTTGTGTTAAATGTTAACAAAACGTTTGCGCAACTGATTAATGATTTGTATCGCAACGAGTTTGGAATGACCGTGACTGCCATTCCGATTCGGAGATAAATTCGGTCAACGAGCAACACGCCTCCTTAATGTTGCTGACTCTGGTCTGTAACGAATGACGTGTCTCCTAATTGATTGTGTTTTTATGGTTTCACCCTGGTGACTCAGATCAATGTTGATTTCTATCGAACTGCAATCGGATTTTTATGTAATATTTGTTTTTACTATATTGTTAATAATGCTGTCTATCTGTCTTATACTATACTTAGCCCGCGATATAATTTGCATGAACTTTAGAATTTTAAAAACTGTAGGGAACCTATATTGAGCAAACAAAATACAAAGGATCAACTGATAAACCAGTACGAATGTATACAATCACAATCTATTAGATACTGTAGTAGGTACGTATTATGTGTTCTTTGTTTACTGGGACCCATAGGAATCTTACATTTACCTGGGAACAAAAAAAGATTCATCCAAATTCGTTCAGTGCTTTTAATGTATTCATTGAAGTAAAAAACATAGATACTTTCAGTTTTTTTTTAACTATAGAATAATATACTTTATTTTTATTATAAGCGTTCAACTACTAGATTTTCCTTCCGCTACGGTGCTGGTTCGAATCCCGTCTGATGCCTGGACCGACTGGATTTTTACCAGAACAATTTTCTGTAGAATAACTATAATATAATTTATAAATTTTCGTTGCACTTTGTTTTATATAAAAAATCGCTTTTTTCTTCCTAATAAAGACGCTGTTAATGTCTACCACCCACAAATTGACGACACCTACCCTTCAGACTCCTTCCAATCATTATCAATTAAAATGTATTTGCTCAATGAGTACTTACCAGTCTCGCTTGGACGAATATACTTACAATGCAGCCTTTTTTGTTTTTCAGCGGCATTCATTTCTAATTAAAACGCACAATTAACTGTGACTAAATAATGATGACTAGATACTACTTAGATTAGTCAAGAATTGATTTGTTAATGAAAAAAATATCGAAAGCGAAAGGCAAATAGAGTTAGTTATTATTCCAAAACTTCAAAGGCAACGAACGCTCTTCTTCCTAGACTAGACTTCGTCTTGTTCTTTTGGCTTTTTTGTGTACAATGTGTGAAAAGGTCTCGTACGTAAAATAACATGTTTTTAATATATTTCCTTTGTGCTGTACGGACATTCATCTTAATATATTGTAATATAGTAAGTATTAAAAAAGAGTACATAATATTTTTTTTTTCTTGCAGGGCAAATGCAACCACCGCGTTTCAGTATGCAGCCATCATCTTCAAATAGTGTAGTAAGAGAAGGCACCACCAAAATTTTACAATGTTCAGCTCTAGGTGACAAACATTTTGATAAGAAAACATTTCTTTTTATTATTCTGTAACAGCGAGTTTAACATAAAATCGTAATTTCGTTTCTCAGGTATTCCACAACCTATGTATAGGTGGTTAAAAAATGGTGTTCCGCTTGGGGAATATTCTTCGGAACTATTTTATAAAATCCACAATACCAAGAAGCAGGACGCCGGAGCCTACCAATGTATAGCTAAAAATGACGTTGGGGCAATTTTCAGTGAAAAGAATAACATTGTTGTCGCGTGTAAGTAAAGTGCTCTTTTGAACGACTCATTCTTTATTATACTAGACTTAACCTCGACATAATGCAACTAGGGTAAATTCTGCAACAAAACATTATTTATAAGACCAAAGTGACGAATGTAATATTAAAAGAAATAACCTTGGCAATACAACACCAAAAAAAAACTTTTGCTTTTTTGTACGCATTGGCACAAAGACCATTGTCTGAGGAGCATATTATAGTTGCCTCAGAGGATCATCAATATGCACTTTGTATGCATTATATATTTATGAATGCTAAACTTTATGGCACCATAAAGTATATTTCATGATAAGAATTGCAGAATATTCATTAAATATGTATGACTAAGTTTTAGTTCCTTAGTTCAAAAACTTCTTACGCTATATAATGGCGAAGGTGAGGGTATAATATTTACCGTTAAGAAAATAGTTTAGTTCTTAGACTCTTATACAGGTGAAGTATCCAAATTTTAATATTTTTTTTAGATATGGGAATATTCGACAAAATTCTTCAAGATACGATAACTGCCGAATCCGGACATGCAGCAGTTCTAGAATTTCCGCACATAGAGTCAGAACCCCCACCCTCGGTCATATGGCAAGATGAAAACGGTGCATTGCGATACGATCAAAAATATGCAGTTACTGATGAACATCAATTAGTTATTCTGTCGGCATCACATGACGATGAAAGACACTACAGGTAATAAATCGTTATCACGGAATTTAACTTCAATATACTGACTGATATAAAAATAACGTGTATTAAACTTTTAGAGTTCGCGCCATTAACACCCAGCTTGGTAAAGAAGAGAATAGCCCTTATTTTCGACTTGAGGTTTATGGTGATGATACCAAAGAAGTTCCACCTGAAATCATAATTAAACCAAGAGACAGAAAAATAGTAAAAGGCCAAGATTACACGAACTTGTACTGTGTTGCTAACGCTCGACCTCTTCACGAGCTTGAGACCTTGTGGTTCAAAGACGGTATCATGATCGATTTGGCCGGTATCACCTTTGACTTAAATGACCAGTGGAACAGAACTCTCAGCCTCATTTCAGCTAATTTGACGCACACAGGAAAATATACCTGTCAAGCGAGATTAAGAACAGGAGGATTCGCCACAGTTACAGCTTCGGCAATGGTTACAGTCTACGAGAAACCTGTTTTCTCAACTAATTTAAAATCGGAAACGTTCGCTGAATTTGGTAGCAATACGGTCCTTGAATGTAACGTGCACGGCATACCATTACCTAGTATTACATGGTACAAAGATGCTAGAAAAATTGCTAGCGTTGGTTCTGAAGCTGCAAACGACAACGCTGATCTTTATGATGGTGAGGGTCGGTACAGGGTAGAAGTTGATCGATCTTTAGTTATCAACAATCTTCGAATGGAGGATATGGGCATTTACCAGTGTATAGCCAATAACGACGCCGGAGAATCTTCAATCTACACCTGGCTCAAAATCAAAAGTGAGTAAATGTGCTTTATTTATTTGTTAACGACTAAAAAGAGAGTGCCTGCTGAGTGATGTACTGTTTCAAGCCGTACGGTTGATTCTTGATGTGTTCTTGTGAAAGATGCTTTATGTCTACATATCTCAAACTTATAGTATGTATGGAAATATTTTATCACATATTATAGTTACAATAAAATTATATTTATTTACAACTTTCGTACAGAAAAGGAAAATATACGTGTACCCCGCAGTCACATGAAGTTAATTAGGATGAGGACAGCTGATAAAAAGTCAAAAACATTTAAATTTGATACCGGCAGTAAGAAAAATTGACATTTTGCACAGTTCATATGTAATTATGTTAAATGGCACTGAGTGATAGCAATATTGCTTTCAAGACACTTTTTTGGTTAAGGTGCTTTTATTTTCATTTACTTTGAAGTGTGTGATTGAATATCTTTCCATTATATTTTTAGATGATTTTAAAAATATTTGTTTTTAAATTAGATACATGTCCGAGTAGTTCATAGTTTGTTATCTATATAATAGGTAAAGCGGCATGTTGTCTGTTTTATTCAAATGTTAAATTGTAGAATAGTTTGAAATATTTTTTTAAAGAAAACGCTTTGTGATGAATACCTCTGTAATCAAAACCATTTACTGTGTCAGTGTGTCTTACAGCAGTTAAAATGTACATGTATTTAATTTAACCCGCCATTATAAAACTGTGTTCTATAAATCGGGATACTATAAAGTTAAATAAACGGGAAGCGCTCCAGTCTCTTGAAAAATTCAACGTTTTGCTACCGAATTATAGTGACTCTATGTAAAACACCTGAGGAGTTACTAAGTGTTCGAGCGCGGTCAATTGCTATTTACGAGCTTAACTGCTGTAACGCTATTTCCGGTTGAGATGTGCCTTACAAAATTGGGCATAATAGTCTCGAGTATAACTTCACAATTTTAAAACCTTCTTCTTGTAAAAACTAACGCGTTTCAGTTTTTTGCATGTGAGTCATAATAGACAAAAACATTGATATAATGAATAAGAAAAAAATCTCGAATAATTATATCAGCAGCAATGTGCTAATTTTGATGTCGTCCATCGGTCGTAATTCCAAAATTAATCAAACAATATTTTAATGATAACCACTAAACTTAAAAACACAATGCCTTTAATGGATTATGAAATCATAAGATTATTTATGCTTTAGTAGTAGGTAGTAGCGAGTATTGATTTCTCGTCACATTGCATGTTTTGATTTAACCCGATTACCTACCACTTTTTTCGTGATCAACATGTTTTGTTTGATACTAATACTGTATAATCAGCATACCAAACGTAACACTTGAACGTACATTGTTCTCAAATGTTACGCTTGGATTGTTGGGCGTAGTGGCTAGTGTAGTACTAAATACGTGTGGCTTGTAGCGTCACCGCCCATAATGACGACGGCCCCCGCCAACCTGACGGTACTGGATGGCAAGGATGCCGCCATCGCGTGTCGAGCGGTTGGCGCACCAACACCCAACGTCACCTGGTATTTCAACGGTCAGTAAATGTGATTCACCACTCAATATTGTAACTATATAACGATGAATGCAAACAATAGATTCATATGTCTAACGACCTCCGTAGTCCAGTGGTTTGTACGCTGGGTTTCAAGGTGTCGCCTACTCGAGAGGTCCCGGGTTCGAATCCCGGTGGGGGCAGATGTGTGTGTGTGATGAATACGAGAGTTTGTACTCCAGTCATGGATGTTTAATATGTATTTCTCTATAAATATACTTATTTACTTATATATCAGTATATGTATTCTATCCGTTACCCTAGTATCCCATAACAAAAGCCTAAAGTGCTTACTTTGGGGCTAGGCTAATTGCTGTGATTCTTAGAAATACTTATTATAATTCAGCTTATTATTTATTGAGGAGCTCGATGGCGCAAGTGGATACCCATCCACGACCAAAAATTTACTATCTCGAGCTCCTTCGTGCTTCGGAAGGCACGTTAAGCCGTTGGTCACGGCTGCATCCGCAGTCGTTAATACCCACCAATCCGCACTGGGCCTGCGTGGTAGGTCATGGCCCAATCTCCCTATTCCATCTATAAGGAAGGCCTGTGCCCCAGCAGTGTGGACATTAATAGTCTAATGATGATGATGATCATTTATTGTGATGTGATGATCATTTATTGTGATGTGACGATCTGTATTTGAATAGTATATAATAAGATATTAATTATAATTGTTAGCCATAATAAACCGTAGACCTACGAACTTCTTGTGCAGTTTCCATTATTAACTATATCGAAACTGCCAGCTAGTCGAGCAGTCTACTCACTTTCAATTTATGGAACCAGAGTCCCGAAATCCATAGTCAAATGCCAAGTCCCTAGTTATTGAGAGAGTTCATCAAATATTTTTTTGTAATAAAAGCCCAGTTACATTTAGAGACTAAGTCACTGAGATTGTACTAAGAAATGTTGATGCAATGCTTTTTTGTTTTTTGAAATAGATAGAAATTTCGCTATACATCTTGTGAGTGGTACACCATCGCGCTTTAGCCGTTTGCTTTGGAGGTTAGGAACTCATGAACTCTTTCCATTCAACTGCTAAAATAACTCTTACAGTCGTACTAAAAGACATAAATGAACTCCTAAAGGACATGGTAAAGTTTTGTATGAGCGACTGCCCTGGCAATGTATAAATACTGTACTTAGTAATAGTTAATGGTAAATGGTTAACTATTTATAATTTCTATGAAAAAAGGCTCAGGAACTTTTGATAAAGTCACAATCTTGAAAATTATGAGAACTCCTACTATGTCATTACCTTACTAAAGTTGATAAAAGATGTTGACAATTATTTACAGAGTGATCAATTTCGCATTTCCTTAGAATCTTTCTTACCATTTCTCTGATTAACTCTTCACAAAAAGTTTTTTAAAGCAAAAATAAATATAAATAATTTGTTATCGTCGGCCTGACAGGTAATCTGTGAAGTTTTATTTTGTCTATTTGCAAAAATTAAAGGATTAATTATCATACAGCCTTGTCTCAAGCCTAATCAGAATAATTAAATCTATTATTTTAGACCTTTCGTGATTTGTTGTAACAACAGTTAGGGCCAAATATGTCATATATTGAAGGAGTTTAGAAATAATGTTATTTATTTCGATATACTTACACAGATATTTTTTGTATATATTTATTGTTCATTTATTTTGTAAAACGGAACATTTTGCTTTTGATACAGACATGGAAGTCATTTTTTATACTTTTAAATATTTGATTATTTCACGAAAGTTGTATGAGAATAATAAACACGTAATAATTAATAAAAAAATATTGTAAAGTTACGGGCTAGTGCGAAATATTTATACACGTTAAGGGCAGTTTCTTAGACATGTCCTTTGGCTAAAGTTATTGACGTCACTTTCTTTGCGATAACAGTATATCATGACAACATGTAAGTATCTTTCAATGACTGTAAACGTCTCTGAGTTATTCCGTTATTCTAAAACTAAAGATTATTGGAAGACTGCTCCTACTGTTAGATAACAGTTAATTCAGCGTCAGTTTGAATGCAGTCGTTTTATCTAAACGCCTCATTACTTACGGACTGCACGACCCGCTTGCAGACGTATCGTTCTATGCATGTTTCTGAAATGCAGTTAGTTTTCTTTGGTCCACTTTGTCGAACTCGTAGACTTAAATTTTTGAATCTATCGAAAAAAAATTGTATCCTCATGTTCAAATATTGCAATCGGGAGCAATAAATCTTGTTCACTTACATTTCAGAAACCTGTTCATTGGAAGATGTCAAATACAATTTTAAATAAGAGAGTATATTCAAAATAAAAACATATTAATACGAAAATTACATTTAACCGAACCGTTTTTATTGCTCTCGAGTGTAAATATTTAAACCGAACTTATTAGGTTACTTCAAAAGAAAACCATTTATGAAGTTATAAACTTAAGTATCATAAAAAAAGGATTAGAAAAATAAGATCCTAATGTTTATACCACTCGTATTATATGGTATTTATTACGTGGCAAGTCTGGGCAATGCGTGTTTCTGTGTCGTTAAATAAAAGGAATGGATGTTTGTTAAAGTATCACATTATTTCCTAATGATATAGGTATTATTAAACGTCCCCAAAAGGTACATTTCTATGGTTACGGTGTTTTCAGATATAGTATAATTGGTTACATTGAAAATTTAGAAAAAGTTAGGTAAAAAAAAAAAAAAAAACCCTCACATTAGTGGCAGGCAGTGTATATTTTATTTCCCCCCAAAATTCACATTTTAATATCTTACTACTTGAGTACAAATTTATGAATGATTGTGGACTTTACGAATTTATAGTAGATATAACTATGTAGCTATGACACCATCATATCACCTAATTTCACACGTTATCCATTATAACGCTTAGGACGGGAGTATGTTTACTCATGTCATGTATGGGTTCCCAACACTACTGTACTCATTTCTGTGTATAATGTTGCAGACTCTCTGATAATTAACTTATCGGGAAGGTTACAAGCATTGGACGAAGGAGACTTATTGATCACCAGTACAACAATTGCCGATACTGGGAAGTACACTTGCGTGCGTGCAAATGACGCCGGAAACGTCTCCGGGGAAGCCTATCTTACAGTTCTTGGTATAAAAAATACATAATATCGGGCTCGATTTTAAATAGAATTTATCTCTTTCTCCTCTGCAGGATAGAATGAGAACAAGGAGTCTTTAAAAGAGTCATTAAATGGTGTTTTTTTTTATTATAATGTCAATTGGCCACTATTTAATTTTTATGATCACCCTTGATCTGCAAAAGACGGAAATATATGAATTCATATACAATACATGTAATAGAATCGAGCCCCTCGGTGAGATTTTTTCAACATTAAACCTAAAGTTATTCTAAAATTATAATAATTGTTTGCAGTAAGGACGCAAATTATAGCACCCCCAGTGGACACACGCGTCCTGCTCGGTCACACCGCCACATTGCAATGCAAAGTTTCCAACGATCCCAACGTAAACTACAATATTGACTGGTTTCACAACAAACAGTGAGTTACTCATTACTTTGTAAGCTTGTATTATTTACACAGTGTTTTGTTTACATCACTAATTAGATTTTTTGTAATTGGATATCAGAAAAGTTATTTTTGTTTCCAAACTTATTGTTCGTTTGTTAATAAGAGGGCAATGTTTATAACGAATACAATATATAACTCCCAACAAATTTTTATTAGCTGCTCCTCATGAATTGTCTATAACAATATATTTATAGCTATTTGAAAATAACTATATATATATATTCTTCATCTGCATCAGTTTGTTTCTAGATTGCACTATTCGATCACGAAAGTTTCGCCCTTGGCCCGCCCGCCTTGTCGAATTTCTTGTCATTTTTTAATTCATTGGCAATGCTATAATAAATAATACTTATCTGAGAGCAGAATTACCTTCTGTTTGTAAAAAAACCATTTTTTAATTTATATTCCGAATGTAAAACAGCATTTTGTTTCTCTAAAAGAGAAAATATAACTAAAAACATGAACTATATATTTGGTTAATTTTTATTATTATAAATATTACCCGTCTGACGAACTGTTAAAAAAGTTAAAAATGGGGACTGAAAGTATGTTGCTCTTTCCGGCTATGACGGAAATATCTGGAAGCTCGATAATTGACGTCGGTCTTCCGTATTAGAGTTAGCTGTTCTCTTTCAGACCAATGGCTGCCGGTTCCCGCGTATGGATTACGGCCGAGGGCGCGTTGACAGTGCAAGCGGTCCGCGCGAGTGACGCGGGCGAGTACACCTGCGTGGTGACGTCACCCGGTGGTAACCACACACGCCAGGCGTTCCTCTCTGTCATCGAACTACCCTTCGCGCCTACTAACGTGCGCGCAGTACGACTCGACGAAGCCACTTCTAGGGCCGTCAACGTATCATGGACCTCCGGATTTGATGGAAACTCGCCCATACAGAAGTACATTATACAAAGAAGAGTAGTACCCGAATTCGGTTAGTCCGCCTTTTCTTTATCATTGACCTACTTGATAAGACTGATACACTAAAAAAGAAGAGCTCAAGTATTTACTCTGTAATATTGTATACTGATTAAAATGCCTGTACTGTAATCATTTAGTTGTTGCACAATCAGTTTATGTATATTTGCTCTTCTTGTCTCACAGGACCTACTCCAGATCCGTTACTAAATTGGGTGACGGAACCTGTTAACGTGTCTGCAAACCAACGATGGGTGCTGTTGACGAGCCTCAAAGCGGCTACCTCTTATCAATTTCGTGTGTCCGCTGTCAACACGGTCGGTGAGGGCCCGCCTTCCGATCCCACCGACGTCCTCACTTTGCCTCAAGAAGGTAAGCGAAACATATTCAAAACTAGATGAATCTGTAAAACCATTAACAACAACTATTGGATTTCGCTTTGAAGCAATAAAACACTAATACTATTCAATGTTTAACACAATCCGAATCAAATACAAAGTTCTAATAATTTTATAACAAATTTTTTCATCAACCAAATATTATATCGTTGTGTGCACTACATTACCATCATTGGCATTGGCACTTTATCGCGATTAACTTATACAATTCCATATTGATCAAAATCTCTCTTAGGTCATGCAAGGTATGTTTCAATCACATTTAAGTTAAAATAAATGTATTCTCTTTATGATCAAGCAGCCAGCGATCTTATATGCTGCCAAGGTATGAAATAGTGTCATAATGTAGATGAATTCATTTCTTTTATTTTTGACATATTTATGTAATGTTTTTTAAAAAAGTCGAGATTCCTGTGATTGTTTATGATTTTCATCCCAAATGTACTTATTTCATAGTCCTTTGCATGACATGTGAAAACGTTTTTATCATTTAATTGATATAATTTCATTTTTAATGAACAATTTGTTTAAAACGCTTGAGACAATGTTTAATGCATGCTAAACGAGGAATGTGAAAGGGTGTTTTCCCGGTTTTAGAATATTAATAATGAACATGGTGTAAATGCCCAACATAAATTTCAGCTCCATCGGGTCCTCCCGTGGGATTCATGGGCTCAGCGCGCTCTTCGTCGGAAATAATCACCCAATGGCAACCGCCCCTCGAGGAACATAGAAACGGTCACATACTGGGTTATGTTATTAGATATAGACTGCGCGGATACGACAACAGCCCGTGGACCAACCAGAATATAACTAACGAAGCGCAAAGGAATTATCTCATCCAGGATTTAATCACGTGGAAGGATTACAATGTTCAGATCGCAGCATACAACGATAAGGGGGTAGGGGTTTTCTCTGATAGTTACACAATCAAAACCAAAGAGGGGGTTCCGGAAGCGGCCCCGGATAACGTTCGATGCGAACCTTTTAATTCTACCTCGATCACGGTGTGGTGGACTCCACCAAATCCCCAGAAAATTAACGGTATTAACCAGGTACGTACATATAAAAAACGGATGATGGCATTCTATCACGGTAACATGATTATTGTGTAATTCGTGAGCTCATTACTACATAGAAGTACAATTGAGATTCACAATGACAAGCGAGGTTTTTAAAAAAAAGAAGATATCTTGTGTAACATTTTAATATCATTCATTTTAATATAAGTACTTATAAACATTTTTGGTATTTTATTATTGTTGAGTTTAATGTAATGTCTAATGACGCATATATTATATATGTATCGATATCCATAAAATACCTTTTTCTGTTTTCTCAAAATTCCTTATTATTAAAGTATTTGTACTACTCTATATTATGTTTATTTTTAGGGTTATAAAATGCAAGCTTGGAGATGGGATGATAAGGAAGTCGGTAACGTTGAGCAAAAACTGATCAGCGTGCCTCCGAATTTATTGGATCCATTGACTGAACAAACCGCGATAATAGTTGGTCTCGAGAAGTTTACAGAGTATAACATTTCTGTCTTGTGTTTCACTGAGCCCGGCGACGGACCACGTAGTGATTTTGTTCTAGTTAGAACAAAAGAAGACCGTGAGTACATAGCAAAATCTGTTTATCTTATTATTCCAAATGCAAATTATGTCTGGCAGCAGTTGGTTTCTCTAAATCTTAGATGTTTTATTGTTTTATCTATTGCGCATATTTTTTGTTTCATAAATATTAATTTAGAATAATATTAATTTTAAAGTTGAAAATATTAAAGTTTATTATTATTATTTTGTGTATTGTTGTGACATAACATGTTATTATATAAACTACGTTTCCTCTTAGTGCCCGACGAGATAATGAACTTGCAATTTGATGACATATCCGATCGAGCCGTAAGGGTTTCATGGTCACCACCGAAAAAATCTAACGGAATACTAATTGGTTACAAATTAAGTTACGAAATCAAAGATGAACCCGACACTTTGAAGGAAGAGGTACTACCACCAAATGTCACCAGTATCAGAGTCGAACATCTTCAGGTGAGTAATTTGCGAATATATGTAGGTATGTTAAGAAAAACTAATTATTACTCTTATATTATCTTACTTAATTATGAATTAGTAGGTATGTTAAAAATAACTAATTAGTTATTACTGATGAAAACTATGCAGTAGGATGTAATCTTCATCGCGGTTAACAGAAAGTTTTGATGCGAGAAGCCTGTTTTTGCAAGTGCCGGTTTGTTTGTCGTTCAAGTCTTATCCAACAGATGTTAGAGCTCTTCGTTTATTTCAAAACATTTTCCCACGCTGACAATGTCTATTGTTTCAGTAACCAGCTAGCGGTTTGTTATGTGAAAACAGTAGAAAAACTTAAGTTGAGCTTTGACGGTTTAATCAACACTCAATAGATTATAAATGGTACAATATTTATTATATATTGGGAATGTAGTTTTTAAGTGTTTACAAGGTAAAATAACGTGAAATATTATATTTCCATAATGTTTTACCTTTGAAACATATCTAGTCGGAAATATTATTCAACTCTTTATATTTATGTGATGGTGTAGTTTAACCATAGGTACTTACAGTAACAGAAATGATTTATTGACCTAATACTTGTCAAGTATTTGCACATACAATTTTTTAAGACGTAGCCTGTAAAGGCTACGAAACGTCAATAAATAAATAAAGTTTCGTGCATTAACCCGTAAAAACTAGTTTTATTTGATAAATATTATACAAACTTATACACACCACTTCGGTGCTGTTTAAAAATTGACTTATTTTCACTATTATTTATTGTTAATAATTTTGATGCTATTATAAAAGGTATATATGCTGGCGTCAGCTATATGTTATGTAATGTTCTAACAGGCAAGCACCCATTATAAATTTTGGTTGTGCGCTATGACGGGGGTCGGCGCGGGTGCCCCGCGAGCGGCCACCATCCAGTCGGGGGTGGAGCCGGTGCTGCCGGACGCGCCACGGAACCTAGCACTGTCCAACATCGACGCGTTCTCCGTACTGCTCCAATTCACGCCAGGCTTTGACGGAAACTCATCTATTTCAACGTGGACAGTTCAGGTTAAAGGCGAAATATTATTGTTACATTGATGCTCTTATTATAGAACGAATAGTTTTTCCAACTACATACTACATATATTTTAATGTGTAATAATTAAATTGAAATCCCAGTTTTTAATCAATGATACTAAATAAATTTTCCGTGCAGTACAATGTACAAGTACAACCGAATAGGAGAGTGTATTAGCTATAGAGTAAAATCACTACTTATTTATTTTAATTTACTAAAACACTCTAGAAAGGAACTTTCCATCTGCCCTGCCCTGAGTAGTCTCAAGTTTACATTGTTTGAGTATAATGAGACCGTGAGACTTTCTGCCCGCAGGCCCAAACAGCACGTAATTCATCCTGGGTAACAATCTACGAAGTGAACGCGCCCGACGCACAGTCGATTCTGGTGAAAGGTCTGGTGCCATTCACTACGTACCGTCTGCGGTTAATAGCAACGAACGTCGTAGGCTCCTCGCAGCCTTCTGAGCCCTGTAAGGAGTTCCAAACTATTCAAGCGCCTCCACAACATCCGCCCAGAAATGTTACAGTGAGAGCAGTCAGCGCAACCAACCTTCGTGTCCGATGGATCGTGAGTACAAATATAAAATTTCCTCTCTGTTCAGTAAGAACAGAAATATAAATAAAGATTTTTTTAAAGAATTTAATTGACATCTGTTTAATGGATTATAGAGATATTTTCAGTTATACCATACCATATCACTATTATTTCTCATACTCTCCCTTCCAGCCGCTACAACAAAGTGAGTGGTACGGAAATCCTAAAGGTTACAATATAACTTACAAGAGAAGCGGTACCAACGACACACTGTACAGCGTGATTGATGATCACACTGCCAATTCGCACGTACTTTTAAACTTGGAGGAATGGTCCGTCTATGAAATACGCATGACGGCCATCAACGAAGTCGGCCCATCGGCGGAGAGTCCCATAGCAACCGAAAGAACTAGAGAAGCTGGTAACTGATTTTTCTATTTAATCTGAAACCTAAGCACGAATTTTGACAGCTCCGTAATCGTATCGCATTTTCAAAGTTTCTATGAAAATCAAGCAGAGCCCTTATGCGACGTAAGAACAAAGTAGCTTTTTCCATATAAAATTTGACGATGACTATAAAATTACGGAGCTGTCAAAATTCGTATTTGGGCCTCTGGTTACTGTTGTATGGGCAAAAAATTTTGATTGACAACGTAAACTTTTTTCTAGTACCATCACGAGGGCCTAGTGACGTATCGGCGAATGCCACTTCCTCGACTACAGTAGTCGTACTGTGGGGCGATATTCCCGTACAGGATCAAAACGGTTTAATCGAGGGATACAAAGTATGCTACGCAGCTGTCGTTCCTCCACCGAGGCCCGAAAATAAGAAGATCGAATGTCAAGCAATACCCTCGAACCAAACCCACACTATTACGTTGACAGAACTGAGAAAATATGTTGTGTACCATATTCAAGTTCTTGGTTACACGAGATTAGGTGATGGAGCTCTCAGCGATCCCCCAGTTACTGTCAGAACTTACGAAGACAGTAAGTATACTTGGTCGTTACGTGCAGTATACAGATATTTTTATTATAGTAATATTTAAAATTTTGCAACTACATTCAAAGAGGTCATATATTTTTTTTTTGTATGAGATCATTCATGTATATATATTTCAGCTCCGGGACCACCTTCTAATGTATCCTTCCCTGATGTAACATTCACCACAGCACGAATTATTTGGGATGTGCCAGAGGATCCTAATGGCGAAATATTAGCCTACAAAGTCACATACCATTTAAACAACACGTCTCAACATGTTTTCTCGAGGGAGTTCTTGCCTTCCGATAGAACTTTCAGGTGCGTAATTCAAGACATAGTAAGCAGTTTTTAAAACGATTTTATTAGGTCGACTAGTACCAACTATGTAATAAAATCTAAGAATCTGAATTACACGCACTTCTAATTCTTGTATGAAACTTGGCAATTATATGTAGATTAGATGACAATACAATATTATGGTACCATCAAGCTGGTCTGATGATGGCACTGGAAGGTGGCTGATGGACCTTGGACAGCCTACTACTAAACATATCGAGTTTGGGTTCATTAGATTCATCTTAACATATTAATATTCTGGTCATATTTCCTGATGATGATAAACTGGCAGGTGGCTGATCGATTCTGGACTGCCTACTAGTACAAAAATCGAGTTTCGGCTCATGACATTCGTCTTAACATAATAAAACTTGGCAATTTTAAGTAGATAATTTGACAATGCAATATTATGGTACCATCGAGCTGGCCTGATGATGGGACTAGAAGGTGGCTGATGGAACCTTGGACTGCCTTCTAGTAAAAATATCGAGTTTGGGCTCATTAGATTCATCTTAACATATTCTGTTCATTTCTCCTGATGACGAGGACCTGACGATGGACTGGAAGGAAACGCAAAACTGAAAAGAAAAAAATAAATTAATAGTTTAAATACTAAAAATACGCTTTTATTTACTGCATTAAAAAGCCAAAAATAAACAAAAAATACTCTCTGTTTACTTTCATTAGGGCCCGTCCTAGAGTAAGCCATGTTTATTGTTGAATCAAGACTTTATTTCTTTGGCTCTACGTGTAATTCCGAATGCGCTGTTAGCAATATAGCAGGTACAGAGCGCGAGGAAAAGAGACTGCTATATAATTAACCCACCATGCATTTGAATATCACGTTTTTTTTTTAATCAATTCATATTTAGTATTAGAACAAAATTAGCTTCTAATGCGTTAAATTAACAAACATTGATTAGATACCTGTCGAAAAAATAACACTACGTAATATAAGTATTTTTATCGCATTTTACACGGAGCACCGCCGCCGCGGCATCTTGACTTTTCAACGGTCCGCTCGTGACTGTAAACCAAGAAGTGGGTGAGTCTTGATTGGGACACATATTGTGCGCACGTGGTGTATCTAGGGTTTTTAATATCGTTGATTATAATATTATGTAAGTATATATGTTTACGTTTGATCATTTTGATAAACTTCCAAACACAATTGTAGGGCGACTGAGCTGTCTTCAGAGCGGTACTATATGTTCACGGTGACGGCGCAGACCCGGTTAGGATGGGGTGCCACTGCGCGCGTGCTCGTACTGACAACCGTGAACAGGGCCGCGCCCGCCCCACCCGCGCGCCCTAATGTTGCCCGCTCGCTGCTGCAACCGCACCATATCACTTTCTCCTGGACGCCTGGGGACGACGGATATGCACCACTGAGGTATTCTTGTTTTACAAAAGAATAAAGTGTCAGCAATACGCGCAGTAATATATAAGTACTATATTATGATATAGAGATTTATCAATGTTCTTATTAACTAATTTAAATAGTCTAATATATCAAAGTACGTGGGCGTTCGACAGCTGTCGACAAACTGCCTGCTCGAATTTATATAAACTTGTCTCTTTAGCATTTCAGGGATTTATTTGATACTTAATATCGATAAATTGCTGTATTACACCGTGTTGCGATGCTTACCTATATTCATGAAGTTAAGATTATTTTCTTTTCTAGATATTACACAGTGCAAGTGAAAGAAGAAGGCGGTACATGGCATACGATACCCGAACGAGTAGATCCATTTGCCACATCGTACACAGCAGAGGGGCTGAAGCCGTACACGGCCTACCAGTTCAGGATACGGGCGACCAACGACATCGGCCCCAGTCGATACAGCAACGCCACCGAAACTGTCCGCACTTTACCCGCGTGTAAGTACCCTTATTAGAATGTAATAGATTTCTGACGTTCAAAGAGTTTATTTATTTATTATTATCTAATGCTGAATGTAGGCCTCCTGTAACGCATGCCATCTAGCTCGGTCTTGTGCTGTTCCCATCAAGTACTTTCCCGCTATCTTCATGATATTTTCTGTCCATGGCATTGGTGGCTTGCCTACGTTCCAGTAACCGGATCTGGGTTTTCACTCCAGGACAATCTTTCCCCATTGGCTATCATTTAGAACAGTTCTGAGAGAGAGAAATAGAATTTCTCCGAAGATAGGTCTTATTATGAATTATAAATACCAGGCTTGTTCCGTGGTTGGAACGAGATATCTCATCCGCACAGTAGAGTAGCATTTCGCTTCGACCGCTTTTTGCCGGGCGCTAATACGGCCCCAGGTAATTGGAACTCATTATGCACGAATGTTTTTTGTTTAAACTGCGCTTGTACTTAGTTGACGGAAAACACGTTGAGCGCTTGCTCCATCACAAAATCTTACATAAGACGTAGATAGAAAACTGCATCACATTTGTAAATGAACTCTCATTGGATGGATACGATCAACAACACAGCCCTAGAGTCCCAATAAAAAAAGTAACAACTAGTGTATCTTGATCAATAATGGAATAGTTTGCAAACACTACGATTGCTATGTCGGACGGACAGGATCATCGTCCGTACGTCGGGCGGAGAACTTCAGTGTCTAAAATCACGTAACCACAAAACTGATCAACTGTTAAATTTACTTGTTTTTCTCCAGCTCCAAGCAAAGCCGTAGAGAATCTTCGAGTGGTCCCAATCACTCCGAGTAGTGTACGAGTGCAATGGACTCCTCTAGGAGAACAATATTGGAGCGGCGACACTCGCACCGGTGGTTATCGGGTGTTCTATCAACCCCTCACCGACTTCCCTACCGCACTACAACAGACGATGAAGCAAGAAGTACCTGGAATTAAGGTACAGTTAACATTATAACAGCAAAATTAAGCATCGTGGCGATTTGTTTTACACTAGCGTTCTATCACTGAGGCGGGTACTGAGCACTGCATTTTTTGACGAATAGGCAATTGTACAATGTTCTTTTTTGTAATGATTATGTTAAAAGTCTGCTTAATTATGTTGTAGTGTGTTTTTATTGGCGAAGACCTGTAATTGGCTTTTTATTTTTTAAGTTTTTATTATTTTTATTAATAGCTGGTCTTCCAAAAAATAAATAAAAACAAATTATAAAAATAGAATAAAGTCGAAAAATTATGATCATACCCTTCATTTGCAAATCCCACTCGCACTTGGTAAGTTTTTAATGTTATAACTATATTATTTATTTACTCCAGAGTCTATTCATCTAGATTAAAAAGGAATTGCTTCAATAACAGAGCGAGGAGGTAGTCCTGACAGAGCTATCTGTGGACCGCAACTACGAGATCAGCGTGTGCGCGGTGAACTCACAGGGTGCGGGCCCCGGCGGCACACCCGCTGTCGTGTGGGTGGGTGAGGCGGTGCCCACCGCGCCTCCGCGTGACGTCACCGCCGACCCACTGTCGCCCACCGAGGTGGCGCTCGCGTGGAAACCGCCGCTGTTGGCGCAACAGAACGGCGATCTGCTCGGGTATAAGGTGGGTGCTGCATATAATATGGTCCGCGTGACGTCACCGCCGACCCACTGTCGGCCACCATGGCGCTCGCGTGAGAACCGCCGCTGCCGGCGCAACAGAAGCGCGACCTGGGGCCCAATTCTCGCGGCGTAGATATTTTAACAGCTTCGAGATAATATCGAAAGGAGGGATATCTATTGAAAATATCTACTGATGGTAAAAAATGCTATTCTCGTGGATTTTCGGTATTCCAATGATATTATATCTATCGTAGATATTCTTTCACTGACGAATGCGTTCCGTTTTTCTCGATTTAGTTAACATCATAGTCTATATAAAATAATAATAAATTAGAGCAGAATTTTACAAGCAACATAATGATATTTTTTGAATTCCATTCATATTAAATATGAGTATACATTTTTTGAGTATAAGAAATCTCAACTTTACCTAAATTGTATGCGTGTATAATTTCAACGTTATGCATAATGAAACGTCAATATTATTTAAGATTCTCCCTTTTCAGGGAAGGCAAAGGGAACAATGCCCATACAGCCTAGTCTTTAGTTATATTAATCTTCTTTTATTTACATTAGAATGTCGGTGTGACGCATTTTAATGTTTCTTGGAGTGTTTGGCACGAAATTTATGGAGTTAACTTTTTCTCTAAGCTTCTGTGAGGTAGCACTACAATAAAGTTCTCGCGTCCACTTGACCGGAATAGCGTATATATTAAAGATTCCACTAATTCTTCAGTTGCGCAGACGGTTGTAACACCAAATAACACCAATTTTATTTCACAATATGTACTATGAACGAATTTTAGAATAATTAAAATAAGACGCCAACCGCACTCGCAGAAATCCCGCCAAAAACTCCGTATCGTCAATAAGAAAATGGTGTCGATTCTGGCATGATTCTCGAACCTAAACGTAAATTTGACAACAGTGTATCCTTGTCATTCTCCATACAGAATGAAAAGGAGAGACTGATGTTAAATTTAGTTTTAAGTTTAGAGAATCGTGTCAGTATCGATACCAATGTCATTCATAACTTTATAGATTTCTAACCAAATTTTTGTTTAAACGTAATTTTTTTATGAAGTCGGCGCCCCTCATTTCAAATGGGCCCTCTTGCTCTCACAACGGCGGTGCCTTAGCACAGCAGCAGCAATCACGTCATTTATTAAATCATTGACGAAAACATGAATCAGCTCCTCCATCGTTAATATAAACTGGTGTAGATTCTGGCACGATTCTCTAAATCTAAACTTAAACTTGACAACAGTGTTTCCTTGTCATTCTCTATACAGAATGAAAAAGAGAGGCTGATGTTAAATTTAGGATTACGTTTAGAGAATCACGCCAGAATCGACGCCATTGTTTACCTACTTCTTTATTTACTAATTATTTATGAAGGCAGTTAACAACATCTTGAGGTAACAATAATTGGCAATGACACACGACAACACAATAAACAATAGGTAAAAAAAGTGGAAATAACAAGATTGACATGCCAAGATCCATAGATATTTATATATCGAAGGCTCTTTACCAGTCGATGTATGTCTACTGATCATCCGTAGATAAATATCTATTGCGACATGGTGAGAATAGGGCAAAAAGGTTTTCCTTCGATAAAAGCCAGATCATTCGATATATATCGAAGGTGATATAATATCTATGCCGCGAGAATTGGGCCCCTGGTCGGGTATAAGGTGGCTGCTGCGTGTAATATGGTCCGCGTGACGTCACTGCCGACCCACTGTCGCCCACCGAGGTGGCGCTCGCGTGAGAACCACCGCTGCCGGCGCAACAGAAGCACGATCTGCTCGCGTATAAGGTGGCTGCTGCGTGTAATATGGTCCGCGTTACGACACCGCCGACCCACTGTCGCCCAACGAGGTGGCGCTCGCGTGAGAACCACCGCTGCCGGCGCAACAAAAGCGCGACCTGCTCGGGTATATGGTGGCTGCTGTGTGTAATATGGTCCGCGTGACGTCACCGCCGACCCACTGTCGCCAACCGAGGTGGCCAACTGTGTAACATCCCTTAGGGACATCCTTTCTTTTGACAATTATAGGTTCCATTTTACATATCTTGTCGTTCATTATTGATCATGAATTGCAGCATACTATCTTTTTTTTCTTTATAATTCCGCACAATTTTAACGATATTACACACTATTTATCAATCAATCAATCAAAATCATTTATTCAGTTTAGGCTGTTACAAGCACTCATGAATGTCTAGAAGCTACGCCATCGGTTCGTAAATCTACGGCGGGAGACCTTGTACTGAGAAGAACCGGCAAGAAACTCAGCAAGGGCTGTTTTTTTCTCCCTGTTTTATTATTTACAGAGTCGTTAAATTGAAAAATGACTTCAGAGATGATTCATGAAGTCACCTTTCATTACATAGTTATTAAATATACATCAATTGTTTACCTGCATTTCGATTGCTGTGTCATACAGTATAAATACAAATAGTGTTATTTATATTAAGTGTGAGTAAACATTAACTTCAATATTAAGGAAGTTAGGGCAGACTCATCTCCGCTGGCAGCACCCGTTCACGAGCATGACGCATGAACCAGCCATCGCTTCACTCAACCATATTTTAGGGAACGTAACGACCCGCCTCACACGACACCGCCGAAGAGACTATTAAGAGAGCATGACTACCCATAACTACCCATACTAACTACAAGATATTTACTTAAATTAAGGTTATTTACCTGTAGGACACCACAAACAATTACAAAAACAAAGCAATGGAGAAATCACGACCACGCCGTTTTGTCAATCAAATATTCTAAAACAGTCTGATAATCTTCCATAAGTTATCAACTTTATTTATCATTTTGTAAATACGTATCAGAATCCCATCTACTAAAACTACCGAGCCTCTCCAAATTTCTAAAAGGCCTTGTCCCGAAGCCGGCTGATCTGGGACTCAAGCAAAGACCTTAAATATTTGTTTCTTAGGTTTTCACGCACGCACGGTATATACCACCAGCTTGGGAACCTATTATACAGGAGATAAAATCCCAACCCCGAGCACACACTGCAAGACCATCAGATACTATTAGTTCTTTTTTTTTGCATAATTTAACATAAGAAGGAGATAGAAAGCCTCTCTTGAGTTTGTTTCGCCGGTTTTTCTCAGGAAGGTCTCCCAATTTTGGAACCGGTGGTAGTTTACGGTAGTTAGGGTCAAATAAATAAACTCAAAGTTACAAACAAGATTTTAAATAAAATACTTTATTAAGTAAATTAAATAATAAATTCATACATAGACAATAAAACTTAAAAATCGAACAATGAAATAACCAAACGCTCAATAAAAGTCTTTCGAAGGTAGCTCGACAAATTAAATAAAAGTTTTATTCTGACGACGTAGCCTGTAAAGGCTACGAAACGTCAATAAATAAATAAAGTTTTCGTGCATTAACCCGTAAAAACTAGTTTTATTTAAAGACCTTAAAGCCTGAACTGCAAACCACTCCACATTCACCCGCTATTGCGTTCTTTGACAGATATTCTATTTGATGACGGAGTCTCCCGAAGAGCCAGAGCCTAGTCGAAAAGCGGAGGAAGAAATCGAAGTGGTGCCCGCCACAGCTACTTCACACTCGCTAGTGTTTCTGGATAAATTTACGCAGTATCGCATTCAGGTAATTTGTACATTCAATAGATATTTTTCGATATTGTTTTTCACATTCATACAAACGAAAATTGCTATGCACTGACCATTATGCTACCGAGGCCCTAATGGGCGTGTCGAAACTTTTCTAGTTTTTCTTAGGCTGCTATCTTGTTTAGAGTTGTTTTAAACAAAAAATATCTGAAAAAAAGGCGCGCGCGGCGACCTGTCGGCAATCATGAATGTGGCCGAGTGGCGAGACAGTGCACGTTCAGACTTGCCGAGCGAGCGCGCGAGACAGTCCGGGGAAGTAGGATACGCGGCCTAGTATGTTATGTGGCCTACGTTCATACGTACCGATTACTCATCCCAGGGCACTGTCTCGCTCGTTTGCTCGGTAAGTGTGATCAAGGCAACGACGAAGAAGAGGTAGACCTACCATAGCTTTGTTGCTAAGAAACGGAACCAGATTATTTTACTGGATGTTGATTATTGATACGGACCGTTAGTGGTTACTCAAACGTTCGATAATAATAAATTTGAATATGGAACAACTACTTCTCAGGTGCTGGCGTTCAATCCGGCGGGCGACGGCCCTCGTTCGACGGCAGTTCTCGTCCGAACGCACCAGGGTCTGCCGTCGGCGCCGCGGAACATCACCTTCACCGACATCACTATGAACAGCCTCGTGGTGTCGTGGGAAGCGCCGTATAGAAGGAACGGCCTCATACAGTCGTACCTTGTCACCTACGAGACTGTGGAACAGGATGAAAGTTAGTGTCGATTTGATATCATTCGACGTTTTGAAGTTTTTTGGCCCTGTTGGCGTACAAAACTAGATTTCTGTAATATTTATAAGTTTAGAAGTTCAATCTTTTTCCTTACTGCCAATTATACCGAATGTAATAGTCCTATTTTGCTATAATAAGCTTTATAAGAATTAAGAGTTTTACCTTAACAACACTTTTTTTCTAACTGCTGCCTCGGGATATTAAAGTTAAGGCGCGTATACACAGAACATCCGTTTTTATAGGATTTTTAAAACAGATTTGACGCTACTAGAGATTTTTTTTCACATTGGCGCCTGTGTGCAGCACACCGTACCCGCGTACCCCAGCCCGATTTCGTGTCAAGCCTAGCGCGGTTTTGATCCGATAAAACGGATCAGTATTTCCGTGTATGGATTTTTTTTACTAGATCCGGATCCGGACATACGCAATCAAATAAAGGACCTGTAAAACGGAAGCCATGTCATTTTCTTTACGATAACACGTGACATAGCAAAACGTTTAGTTGAAACAATATGTTTGACAATGTTAACCTATCGATTGACTAATGATAAATCATGACTTTAAGGGTTTAGCAAGCAAGTGAAGCAGAAAGTGGACGAGCGGCGTCTCGCGGTAGGCGGACTGGAAGAGGAAGTGGAGTATCTATTCAGCGTGCGCGCGATGACGATCGGTGCGGGTGCTATTGGGAGTGCGCGCGTGCGGACGGGCCCGCAGGCTGGTTCGCCCGACCCGCCGCGGGCCCTCATACTGGCGCCCGACCCCGCCGCGCTGCATCTACGCTGGGACAACGCGCCCTCCGGCCCTGGCCCGCTGCTTGGCTATTACATAGAGGCACGCAAGAAGGGTACGTATGCAGTGGCAGAGCGGGCGTGGTGCATCCCGCGAGCTATCGAGCGACGCTGCGTCAACGCTGGGACAACGCGACCTCCGGCCCCGGCCCGCTGCTTGGCTACTGCATAGATAGTGCAGTCAATCTGTCGAAAAAAATATCGTTTCAGTGAAAAAAAAAACCTAATGGGTAAGTCTTGTTTTTTCTGTTGCCAAATGACGTCAGTAAGCCACTTTGGCGATGGGCATGTTCAACTCGTAGGCGTTTTTTGAAAAACTCAAAAAAACCGTCAAAATTTTTTGAAACGCATTTTTCTTGTTTTGTATGCATTTTAGAAACTTTTTTTTCGACCATAATTGTAGAGGGCGTTGAGTACTACAATTTATGTCATTGTTGCAATCTCGTACAACAAAAAATGCGCATTGTAGGTGGCGCTAAAGTCTCAAAAAAAGTGTTGTTTCAATGTACGTTTTACTATTTTTTATTTTTTTTCATGATTGAAAAAAAAATAGTAAAAACGTACATTGAAATGTGCACTGCAAATGTGTACTTGAACAGCCCAAAACCGCTCTATTGGATTTTTTATACCTGCGCATTTTATAACTTGAAAACGTTAAGTAATACAAAAAAATTGTTTATACAAAAGTTGTTGGTAATTATGTACGAAACAACTTAGCCATTTAAAGTTTTCCATTAAAATGATATTTTCAGGGTGAAAAAGTGAAAAAACACTTTTTTTGAGACTTTAGCGCCACCTACAATGCGCATTTTTTGTTGTACGAGATTGCAACAATGACATAAATTGTAGTACTCAATGCCCTCTACAATTATGGTCGAAAAAAAAGTTTCTAAAATGCACACAAAACAAGAAAAATGCGATTCAAAAAATTTTTGACGGTTTTTTTGAGTTTTTCAAAAAACGCCTACGAGTTGAACATGCCCATCGCCAAGGTGGCTTACTGACGTCATTTGGCAACAGAAAAAATAAGACTTATCCTTTAGCTTTTTGTTTCACCACTCAACCTACAGATTGACTGTACTAAGAGGCGCGCAAGAAGGGTACGTACGCGGTGGCAGAGAGAGCGCTGTGCATCACGAGAGTTATCGAGCGGCGTTGCGCCTACGCTGGGACAACGCGCCCTCCGGCCCAGGCCCGCTGCTTGGCTATTATATAGAGGCATGCAAGAAGGGAACGTACGCGGTGGTAGAGCGAGCGCGGTGCATCACGCGAGCTATCAGCCACGCTGAGTCCGTACTAGGACAACGCGCCCTCCGACCCCGACCCGCTGCTCGGCTACTATATTTAATAGCAGCATTTTACCTGAAATAAAATGCATATTAAAATACTTACCTCACTGAAAGCTTTATATTGAGATAGCACTTCCGTTTCCCGTCGAATTACCATCAGTTTCCGTACTTTTATTCACCTTGTATCCGGTCCAGTGGCGACACCTGGCAGAAGCGCGGTCATTTTTGTTTTCCTAAGTTTTGACAGCGCCATATTAACTCATTGGCTCAATTATTTCACCAGGCAGAATTTAAAGTGAAAGCTTTCAGTGAGGTAAGTATTTTAATATGCATATTATTTCAGGTAAAATGCTGCTATTAAACTACTTGACCGTCACTGAAAGCTTTATATCGAGACCTGTTTGTTATCGCCTGGTGATCGCCACGTACATAGATATATACGCCAATGTGACAATTTATGATAAATAAATATTAACATTTATCAGATTATATGAAACTGTATAAGAAACGAGTAAGCTTAAAAATGGATCAAATAATATTATTTGAATCACGCCTTTAATTTCTTCCCGCTTACGAAGCTGCTTTAACATATGTATTAGCTGATCGCTATATTCCTTTGCTTAAAACTCGCGAAGTATATATATATATATATTTGCTTTGTTAATGACCGGACGCTTCCTTGTGTAGCATTCATTGGTATCTTTGTATATCACAAATAAGGCGTACGAATGCGAGAAAAAGATGTAAAGTTGTACGATACTGAGTCTTACATTTTACAAGACTGTACTTTTTACTTAAGTACCAAAAATCAGGGTCCCACTTACGATTACCATTATTCGGTAGAAGTCACCAATCGGATTGTCTTTAACTACTTTCACCTGTTTTGAACCAAAACAAGGCTAAAACTAATCTTTGTCGGTACAAATACAATGATTCGAGATAATTTGAAGTAGGAACATGTCATGTGTACCACATGCTGAACCAAAAAATACGTAGCATAATTACTGTATGACGTTCAGAACAACAACTAGTATAACGAGGTATTTGAAACAGATCATTATGATGTAATGAATACATTATTGAAGAAAAGGAAATAAGTTAACTTATAGACACAGAATAGTGGGTTATGGACTGATTCTTTATAAACAATCGACTTTAATATATGTGTTTGCCAAGACAGGTGAGTTTAGGTAATTAGACTTATCATCCATTGGTATATCATGTAAAAACTACTGAATTATTTAAAATATTGGTACTTATTTTGAGATAAGTCACGTGTTAAAAATAAGTCTCTCAAAAATCGTGTTAGCTCAGAACCGAGTCCACAACTTGCGGGATTATTTCGATAAACATTCTTGTTCCTAGACCAATGCAACCACGCAAGCCAGCGTTTCCGAGCCATCTCATAGCTGTTTAAGACAGAGCTGTCGCTCTTTGTAGAATATGATGAAAAGCGTAGTGCTAACATATCTATTTGATTGGAGTGGAGATTGAAGTGAAGTGGTAGAGCCGTGTTCTTCAACTACACTTCCCAAGCTTTCATATTAGATTGGCGGGAAGTGATTGCATGGTCGATTGCAGTGAATTCATAATTATTGTTAGAAGTAGGGAGTGGTTGATACAAGCCCACGGAATGACACAAATGTTGAAACCGATCAACTTCTGAAGTTTACGTTTTTACAACGAAATTCTCAGGTATAGTTTTTATATTGTTGCAGGGTTGCCGTGATAAATTTTGCTATTACGAATGTCAGACCAGATTTTATGAAATTCATTTGCCATCCTGGAATCTATAATTGATTGTAATTTTTCCTTTTGTTTTTCAGTTCTTAGATCCGAGTCATTTATATGTATTACTTAATACTAAATAAAGATTTAGTTATTTATAAGATTTACACAGCTTACATGAGGTGTGCATGTACTATGCGTAGGGTTTGAAGTATATTTATTCCAGACAGTCGTGGCAAGGTTAGAAAGCATAAGTTTATTAAGAACAGTTTTCAGTATTTTTTACTAAAAATAAGATAAAGTGGATAATTGCATACAATGATCTTCAAAACCTTTCAAGAATTTGGTAGATCGTGCAATCTTTCTTCAGTACATAGTACCACTTATATATCAAAATGATCATGTTGGCCACCTCAGACACCTCATACACGACATTTCTAATATTGCAAATTTCTCTCATTACGCGATCAAGTGAGCAACCCATTTGGTTTACTTTTGTTATTTTCAAGAGAAAATATGTTATCATCTATCTATCTGGCAGATAGTCCTTAAATTGCAGAAAACTTAGAATTCCTTACATATTTATAGTGTACTGCACTTGAGATTGGAGTTTGATATATATTGGATTTAGATAAACAAGCTTTTGAATGGCATGCGATACCATTAAATTTATTTAAGAATTATTTGTGGTGCTCCCAATTTATCAACTGTACTGCACTAATTTTTTTTCAAACATTAATTGTTTCGATATTCCTTTTTCTTTTGAAATGTATACCAGCACGTCGTCGATAACTATATTACGGTAGAACAACCGTAGTGTTCGAGTCAACACTTCACACCAATTAGCCTAGCGTCATAATAGGCATTGAAAGGCTTGTGTTATGGGCTAACGCATAGAAATGCATAATGATGATGCATAGATTAGTATGATTTTGAATTAATATTTGTTAACAACCACTTAAGCACGGATGCTCGTTTTTATCATACAATGATTTGCCCCACGCACCGGGGTGAACCCAAGACCTCGGGAGTTTGTGACACCTTAAAAACCACGTACATTGCACTTCACAACGGGGTACGTCAACATTCGATGTTCGATCTTTATAGTCTATTAAGAGGGTAGTTTATAGCCGATTCTTATGTGTGTACGCAAGCCATGAGCGGGTATGTTGCGTTGCGTTGGTGTATGGATTTCCACGCGATGGAAGTAATGAATTATGTCAAGCGACATTTATTATATTTCCAATTTACTTATTTTTAATGTTTCGAATCGTTTACACTTTTACAGACCCCATGGTCACAAAAATAAATTATGAATCACGAATAGACTATATGTTAAATTATGCATAATTTGCTCCACTCGAATGTCGTATGTTACCGGTGCTTACATAATAGTACGAACTCCATAAGCGAACATGTTCTAAGGAGAACATATATTGAGCTTCACGTAATGGAAATAATATATTATGTGTGATATGACCCCACAAGGGCGATTATCAGATTGATGAGGATATTCCTCTATCAACGATGTTTTGTTACCGATACTTGTATGTGTAGGCAAGCCGTGGAAGGCAAGTCCTTATTCATAATGAGTTCCATACGGTGGAAGCAAATTATACATAATATGCCCCCCGCGAGGGGCGGTCATTAGAGTTTTGGTAATATGCACGCCGCGAGGGTGGTTTGCTACCGGTACTCGTATATGTAAGCAAGGCATTAGAGGTATTTCATAAGGTTTCACGTAGTGGAAAAAAAATGTATATAATATGCACCCCGCGAGGGTGATTTGCTACCGGTACCCGTATATGTAGGCAAGGCATTAGAGACTTTCATAAGGTTCCACGTAGTGGAAACAAATTGTATATAATATTCACCCCGCGAGGGTAATTTGCTTCCGGTACTCGTATATGTAGGCAAGGCATTAGAGGCATTTCATAAAATTCCACGTAGTGGAAACAAATTATATATAATTTGCACCCCGCGAGGGTGATTTGCCACCAGTACTCATATGTGTAGGTAAGCCATGGGAGGGCATGTCCTGACACGCCTTGGGCTTCATAAGATGAAGCTTATGAATATCACTTGCCTCTGCACGAGTTGCTCATTAGGTTGATGAAATGTCAATCACTTAAATCCATGACAAATACTTACTTAATACGAGAAAAACAACCTCAAAAGCTCTAAATCATTATGGGTGATTACATGGTATCTAATTAAGTGGTGCTTCATCACAGAGATCACTAAATTCTTAAGCAGTGCTTTAGTTTTTACTTTTTAGCTTTGTGCCCTCACTAGCTGTAAAAGACCTAAGAAACGATTCTGTTATCTTATCACTTTCGTTATTAAAATTAACTGAGCAGGTGCCTTCCCGCAATAATTCATTTTTATTTTGGAAATATGCAATTGCTGAAAGAAAATTAATACCAGGAACGTGATATATCATAAATTATCATCATACTTCTTTACCTCGTTGTTTGTTTCCCGGTTGATAAAGCCTGGACTATGATTATAATTTTCAATTTACATCAGCATATCATTTAGAACTTTTTATTCATAAGCCTTTTGATATTGATAGCTGGCCATGTTCAGAAAACGGCACATCGACATTAGAAATACCTTATTAAGATTGTACATAGTTCACTTACCCCTCGAACAATCTTTTAATAAAAGGGCTGGAATATCAAGCTCGCTTACTTTTCTTGAGGCAGCGATGCCGCTTTCGTTATACCAGAAGACGACAAATTCAACCAATTATTACTGCAGCTATTCGAAGAACAATTATGACTAGATCCACACATCTTGCTGTTTTTGCCACTAATGCCAGTTAGTCGGCGGCAGAAACGTCAATATTGACCGATGTTCCTTCACTCTAAACTGTAAAATAATTTAATTAAGTATTTTGTAATACATTTACCAATTTACTTTTACACTTACTTATACGGAAACATTAATTGAGTACTAAGAGAAAACATTAATAGTTTTTATTATAAACGACCAAGACAGTCGTAAAGTATTGCAAAATTTACTTTAATGTAGGTACTTTAATTTTTTAAACAAAACGCACCTTGAATGACCGTCAAGTTTTACTCACGGCTTATTATTACTTTTTTAAACAAGGGTATTGCACAATTTAACATATTTGTTTTAAATATCCCTTATCACAAGGGCTGCAAAAACTATCAAAAAGAATAATAGTTTTACTTACGGTCACCTTTAACACGTAAAGTACCTATTTGGAATAACACGAACGGCAAAAACCGTTAAAATATTTTTACTTACAGTTTTATCACTTAATAATAATAAAACCTTTAAAATCTCACAACGATCGCTCAGATTGAGCACGTGTTGCTTCAACGGGAGTCAGAACGCCAATGAGTTAATATGGCGCTGTCAAAACTTAGGAAAACAAAAATTGCCGCGCTTCTGCCAGGTGTCGCCACTGGATCGGATACAAGGTGAATAAAAGTACGGAAACTGATGGTAATTCGACGGGAACCGGAAGTGCTATCTCAATATAAAGCTTTCAGTGACGGTCAAGTAGTTTAATAGAGGCACGCAAGAACCCTTCTTACTTACGTACGCGGTGGCAGAGCGAGTGTGGTGCATCACGCGAGCTATCAGCCACGCTGAGTCCGTACTGGGACAACGCGCCCTCCGACCCCGACCCGCTGCTCGGCTACTATATTTAATAGAGGCACGCAAGAAGGGTACGTACGCGGTGGCAGAGCGAGTGCGGTGCATCACGCGAGCTATCAGCCACGCTGAATCCGTACTGGGACAACGCGCCCTCCGACTCCGACCCGCTGCTCGGCTACTATATTTAATAGAGGCACGCAAGAAGGGTACGTACGCGGTGGCAGAGCGAGCGCGGTGCATCACGTGAGCTATCGAGCCGCGCTGAGTCTGCACTGGGACAGCGCGTCCTCCAGCCCCGGTCCGCTGCTCGGCTACTACATAGAGGCGCGCAAGAAGAGTACGTGACAGGTGACAGAGCGAACGTGGTGCATCACGCGAGCTTTCGAAACTCCAGCTGCTGCTGCATACCAGAGTTGTCTTTTATGGAAACGTGCAAGAGATGTTTGTTTGTAGTGACTAATGTGTATCAGCTTGCGATTCACTATTCGCTATCATATATGAATCTTAGCTGATTATTTTTATTTTTTTTCTACTTTAAATTTTTAAGACTTAAATTTTCTTTAGATAAAGCGAAATTAAAGTTTTTAGTTTAACGACACACAGGATCTTTACCTGATTTTATGTATGCGAATTAAAGCACTTCATAACATTTGTTGTCTAATTTAGGTATCTTTATTAGATCTTATATTCTTTTATATATCATGCCCTCTAACATAACAATTTTATCCACATGCAGCGAAGGAATCTTGGCAAGCCTGTGAGTGTTATGATACAGTTTTCTTTAATTCAAGAGATGACGGAAATCGAAAACATTACACAATTAATCCTCTGGTAGGAAAGAAAATGTTGGAATATTCAAAAGATGTTTTCCGACTTCCAATTTTAAAAAATATTATTTATTTTACTTATGTATTACTTGAATGACCTGTAAGTGTTTTGTCCATGTTCATCGAATTACAATTAATTTGATGAACATGGACAAAACACTGCGGAACTATACTCTATTCGACATCGTTCACACATAAAAAATCATAAATTAAAAAAAGTTATTATTAACGAGACGTAAGACAAGTATCTATTCCCAAAATTTGAACGTATTATAATACTACTAAAATAAAGAGAGACAATTTTGTAATCAGTCTGGTTACACCGGCCATCTTTACTCTCGATAAATAAGTTTAGGAAACATAAATCAATGTTCCCTAACACATTTGTATACCTTTTGGCTAAAAGGAAGTTGAATAGTGAGAGTACAGTTCAAATTGTTTAAAATCATGTAACAATCACAATAAAATTAAATCACACAGCGATAAAAAGTCTTGTGTTTAAATAACATTTAAAATGACTTATTTATCAATAAACAGATGACACTAGATGGGAAACGATCACGCGCACTAGCAACGGAATACTGCAAGAGTTCACTATATCGTACCAGAGCTTGCTGCCATCGACGGCATACTCGTTCCGGGTGATAGCCTATAACAAGTTTGGGATAAGCAACCCGACGTACAGTGACAAGGTAATCTAATATTATTTCCAACAAAATCTAAAAAACTCTCTCTATTATTATAGCAAGCACTAAAAGTGGAAGCACACGACTACATCAATACCAATACTGTAGAGACCAAGTTTGTTCCTAGGTTAGTAAAAAAATCTATTCATATCGATTATTTCACCAAAAGCTATATTATTCCTAATAGTAGGGGAGCCCAAGCGGGGATTTTTAGATTTACTCGAGCGCGGCATAATAACATAAGAGGAGCAACCTTGCAACATGTGAAGTACCATACCTTTTTTTTTCGATGACGGGGAGCAAAACTGCATTATATCCACGGCAATTACCAACACGACGTGGGTTTGCTGTTAAAAAACCCTCGCGACGCAGGTAATTGCGTGGTGCATTCGGCTAGTCGAGCAGTCCGAGTGCCGCTAATCAGTGGGGGTATACTTTGACGTCCACTCACGCAAGCGTCGCATACGTCAAACCACCACGCCTCCGACCAGCAGCCCGATCCGCACCATAGAGGTATAAGAATAGAGTAGGGGAGATTTAGACTCTACTACAAGTGGAAGTGTCCCTCTAATAGAAAGAGAAAGAAGATGAGAGACCGCTAGCTTTCTCTCACTAATCGTGCATGCGGATTGGCAACCGTAAGCATCTTACTATTTCGATGTGATGCCATTGGATGCCATGCGTCACAAGAGAGAGAGAGAGATAGCTAGCGGTCTCACATCTTCTTTCTTTTTCTACTAGTTGAACACTTTTAGAGCCGCCTTCCCCACTCTATTCTTTTACCTCTATGGTCCGCACCCGCTTTAGCCGATCCTGGGCTTCTCCGTTCACAGCGTCAACTGACTAGTCTCACGGACTGCAGTCCGAGCGGCTAGCCAGTCGAACAGCTCCCGTACCTACTAGGTAAACCAACTCCCCGATCTACCCCTCAGCCTCAAGGCGTAACTGCGAGATCCAGTTATGAGTCGTCGTTTGTACTCCCACCATACCAGAGCCCTCTAGGTAGACCTGAACGTCCTGGGCAGCAAACAAAAAATTCAACAACCGGAAATGTCTTTTAGTCGCGTCCAAATCATCAATCTTTTCAATAGAAGCTACGAAAGTTTAGCCATTACTTATGCACCACAGGCTAATCAAAATAAATTTCACCCGTGTAAAATCGGGGCTGAGTACTTTTATGTCAATTTTTACGCGCTTTGTTGTAGGGATACTCACATACTTAATCGCACGAAGTCATAAGTCGAAATCCTACTCGCTATTTAGATTAGTTTATTTTGTTGAATCACACTAAAAACAGAAAATTCTGTTATATTTTTTATAAAATCTGTGATTTTAGGTGATCGTTACACCGTCTAAGTTGTACTTGGAGTACGGATATCTACAGTACCGGCCGTTCTATCGACGGACGTGGTTCATGGTTGCGCTGGCCGCAGCCTCAATCATCATCATCATTATGGTCATCGCGATACTGTGCGTCAAGAGTAAAAGCTACAAGTATAAGAGTAAGTAACTTTTTCTATCCAAGACGATCTATCAGCCGCACGATTGCTTCTTCTCTCTTACACTTATCTGCTGAGATTAATTTTCCATTTAGACAGGGAACGCGCTCTTTATTCGTCTGTGGTATAATATTAACGACAGAACAAGACAGAAGAAAATGTTATGATCTTTAAAGTTGTATGTCGTACTTAAAACCACGTCAAAAATGTAATGTTTTTTATAGTCACGTGTTGTTTTACTCTACTATTTTAGCAATGAAAGTGGCAGCACTAACTACTAACATAAAACTATAAAGTGATTGGCCATCTTTGAGTAACTAAAGCCCATAGTAATAGAACGCCCTCAACTATTGAACGTACTGTATTTCATGAAAAACAGCATTTTAAGACCGCTCTCGATGGAGGTGCTCGATGGTGCAAGTAGTTAGCGCGTTCGGCTGCGATCATTGAAGTTAAGCAACTTTCGCAGTGGTCGGTCATTGGATGGGTGACCAAAAATTGACTATCTCGAGCTCCTCCGTGCTTCGGAAGGCACGTTAAGCCGTTGCTCCCGGCTGCATCCGCACTGGGCCCGCGTGGTGGGTCATGGCCCAATCTCCCTATTCCATCCATAGGAAAAGCCTGTGCCCCAGCATTGGGGACATTAATAGGCTGATGATGAACACCGCTCTCTGGCCTTTAGTAGAAAAATACTAAAATCTTTTCTTCCATCCACAGAAGAAGCACAGAAAACTTTGGAAGAGTCTCTGGCGGGCGAGACGGATGAGCGCGGCTCATTAGCCATGGACTTGTATCGGTCGCGGCAAAACTCCGTCGCTAGCGTAGGTGCGTTGGGCAGCGCTGGGGGCACTCTAAGGCGGGGCAAAACCGCCCCCGCGTTGGGCAAGTCGCCCCCTCGCCCCTCCCCCGCCAACGTCGCTTACCATAGCGACGAGGAAAGCCTGCGCGCGTACGACGAGAACCCCGACGACTCGTCCGTCACCGAAAAACCTTCGGAGATGAGCTCCACCGACTCCCAGGTGATCACCATCAAAATTAGCGTCGTCTAATTTTAAAGTTATGAGCACCCCCACTACTAGACACCGTTACAAGGGCATCCGCTTTGTAGTATTACTACATATGCGTGTGACCACGCCTCCAGACGTGGACCAAGCGATACATCGTTTCACCAACGGAGACCTTTGATTTTTGACCAATTTTGTAGCTTGGTACAAATTATTTCAATAAACATCCAAAATTATACTTAAGAGACTCACTCATCAAATTTTCAATAAATTCCAATAAAATTTGCTGAAAATCTGAATTAAAAAAAGGGAGTCTGCGTATAAAGAAACGTTATTACTTAGTCGCAATTTGTCATTGCCTGATAGATGACAGCTAATACTATTGGTTCTTATTCATTTCCTTGATTGTGATTGGTTCTATCAAAAATCACGTAGTATCCGTAGCTAATTGTTATTAACTTAAAGATGCACATTTACCATAATATATTATCTGTGTTGCCTCCTATCTGTAAACTCTATTTATATTCTGATGAATTCGGCGTATTTTTCTACACATAAATATATGATAATACTTGAGACACAAAACTGCGCAGAGTTGTATGGAGAAAAGAATGGATCCTTTGTCATCCGACCGAGACGTCACACTGACGTGTCTAATCAAAACGCGGCTTACCCTCCCCGCTCGCCGACTTTGACGATTTCAATTTCAAATTAAAAATGGGTAAAACAAGCTAGTGGAGGTGCTCTGTGAAAGTTCTAAACCAACTCTGATAACACACGTGCGCACAACAAAACACTCTAAATACAGACCTCGTTCTTTTGTTTCCTCCCCGACCACTTCCGAACGGATACCGCGATGGTAAATATTATACTATCAATGAATCAAATTACGCTGTCGCTAAATTTATTGTTTCGTCACGCTTCGTTGAACCGATGAGCACTCATTTATTTTAGGCACTGGTTTCTAGTTCTGTTTTATAAATATCATGTTCCCAAAAAATAACTGACTAATATTATTATTCAAGAATCGAAACTGGCGACCATAGACAGTATTTCTTACATCAACGCTTTTTAGAGACTTGCTAATTTTAATGCGAGTGAAGCTTAATCGATCGGGCCGGATTTAGATGTGTGGAGGCACCTAAAAAGGCCGTATTTTAAAATCTGGCACCACGGGCCACTTACAATTGACCGACCCCTATTTTTTCCGTTGTGGGGTCCCTCTATTGTGAACTAGTGTGCCAGATCAATGCACATGATTAAATACTTCTATGATGGATTATGTGCAGTGATGTAAACGATCTCATTTACTCAAGTCAGTTATTTTTTGTGCATCTTCGTCAACTTGTACAGAGTCCAATTTGTTCCAAATTTAATAAAGCTAGTGTAAATATTATTTTAACTTAAATCTGGTTTCTTTTATATATTTCATCAATCACTAAGTAGTCGTTAATGTTCAGCTTAAAATCGCAATAAATAGGTTTTTTTTCTAAATTATAAAGTGTAAATCTATTTTTATGTTATGCTAACTGTCGAAACGAAACCTTACATTTAGGTGCTCCCACGCAGTAGTAGGTATAACACGCAACATGTAAAGATATTCTGTCTCTCGCATATTATTCCTGACCATACGTCGTCATTTTTTATTCGTGTTGTTATTGACGCTAGTTCAACAGGATGATAACATATTTAAAACAACAAAGAGGAACGTTTTGTGTGTGTGTGAACGTGATTTATTTAATTTTTGGACGTTATAATTACTGCTAAATGGGAGCACTTGACTAGCCTTTTTTCACACTTTTGTCTTTGTCATAGGATGTATTTTATACCTTTTCAGTAATGGTTAAAGGTAACGCAAAACCTATTTTTAACCAATTATAGGATGGACGTCACAATTAACGATTACTTTGTTTGGATAAAATATTCAATTGTTACTGACAAAGAAACATCTGTTTTGTGAAAGACTAAACACTCCTACTGTGCCCTCATCAAACTTTTCCACGTTTCTTACACTAACTTGTTACTGTGCTCGCAGAATTCCGAGAGCGAGAACGAGAGCATACGATCTGAACCGCATTCGTTCGTGAACCACTACGCAAACGTGAACGATACCCTGCGACAGTCGTGGAAGAGGCAGCGGCCGGCGCGCCGCAACTACTCCAGCTACACAGACTCGGAGCCCGAAGGCAGCGCGGTGATGAGTCTCAATGGCGGGCAGATCGTCATGAACAATATGGCGCGCTCTCGGGCACCCTTGCCCGGCTTCTCCTCGTTCGTATGACACCAACTTCCAGACACGGCGCCTGCGCAAGCCGTGCACATGTAAACAAACATTCACTGCCCATTCCCATTTATTATACTTAATAAAAAAAGTGAACTTGTACATATAAAATTATTTCAAGCAGCTCGTAAGAAAATCTCAGTGGCCATCGGTTATCGCAAGACTTAACGTGGCCGCATATCGTAGCTTTTTTACCTGCGACTCCTTTACTGTGCAAATTTACACACCTATACTAAAATTATTGAGCGATCTCGTTAACTTCGTGTGGTCGTGTACAGTGGGCCATGTTATTTGTTCACATTTTAACTGTTATTTTATAAGTACATAATGTTAGTTAATATTTATCTTGTAGTATAAACGTAGCCACTTTGTGATTTGGCGCAAAAACTCTATTGATGATCGATTTTTGTGCTAGCACGTTATGTAGCATATCTATCATTAGTGAAGTAAAACTTTTAGGCGGATTTTCCTTGCAAAATATTTTGCTGTATAAAACTGTCAAATACTTATTAATGTTATGAAAGATACAAGAAGTTTAAGTTTGTGTAATGCCGGCACTTACAGCGTTATTCGTATTAGCTATGCGTAAACTTACTAACATCTTTCCATTTCATTCCCAGTGCTGCTTGAGTAAGAGAGGGACAAACTGCTGTCAAAATGACAAATAGCAAGTACAAATAGCCAAGTGAAGTAGCGGCATTAAAATATTGGTAATTTAAGTATTTAACCAGCATTGTCATTGTAATGAAAATGACTATAAAAAAGGAAGATTTACATTTTATACTTCCTAAAAACTCATTCTGCGTGATAATTCGACATAACTTCACATGTAAAGCAATATTATTTTATGTGATTGCTAGTGAAATTATTAGGTGCTGAAATTAGCATGATGTAAAGCGTAGCCTCAGCTTACAATCGTAATGCATGAAATATTATTACTAAATAATAAAATATTAGCGAAATCCGGGTAGATAATAGATTTCATTCTATAAAATTTTATCAGTAAAAACTTCTAGCTTTGTTAGGTACACCGAAGCTTCATTTTATTACAATAAAACTTGAAATGGTTATTGAGAGTTTACACATTGATTTTACGTAAATTATTATCAATCTCACTTTGTAATAATTATTTATATGTAAGTACTAAGTATACAACTTATTTTTTATTTTATTTTTTTCAAATATGCAATTGACTGATAGGTTTAGAATTAATGTGTTTATTGTAAATAAATAAATTAGGCAGCTACATGCATTTACTAGCAAGATTATATTTGGCACAACTATTTTAAAAGCAACTGTGATCTATTGTAATTTTCTATACTTTTTATGGTGTGTTTCTTCTTCAATGTTTGACTTGAATTGATATTTATGTAAAACTTTTAAAGGATTTATATGACATATGAAATTATCATTGATTTTACATATCAATGAATTTTTCATGACATCTAGTGTACCGTGAGTTAACAGGGGCCACTTAATGATAAATCTGTTACTGTGCATGTGTTATTCCAGATGCATTTAAAAAACATTCAAATTTAAGTTAAGAAGAATCAATTTGATCTTTGAACTCTATCTTCAATTGTGGATTAAAGGAATAATTAGGTGCCATTATACTAAAGACTTATGAATCTAGTAGTTTAAAGGGTGTCTAGGAAACTTTTATGCCATCAAACCATTGACGACCACCGACTAAGTTAAAATAAATGTGCCGCTGATTTGGTTACATCTTAATTGAACCCTATACAATGAACAAAACTCCTTATTGAATAACTTTGTATAGAAATAAAATTATCAAAGTATTGGTAACTGTATTTTATTTCCACTATCTTCCGCCTACAGCATCGTCCGCGTTAGGCCTCTCGTTTTCAGAGTTTTTTTTAACCATATGGCTAACACGTCATACGGTTAAGCCTACGGGTGAGACAATGGCCAGGTCCTGTTTCATATCTGTTTCTTCATCACTTTAATCTTCAATTGTGGAATTTAAATGCATAAATATTTCTTTCTAGAAATCATACTTAAGCCTCTTATTTTTTTTATTATCAATACTTTTATGCATATAACGGCACCCTCCCGTGGTTTGTGATCTGTCGATTTCTAATGTCTCTTTAAGTACCACTGGGCCACAGCCCTGCCTTGCCTCATATCCGGCCCTGTAGGTCACTCGTCGTATTCAGCGTTTAAATCACTTGAAGAGGTGACAACTGCGATTTTTTCTAAATTAAATCCCATCCGACACAAGGGTTTACGGGATTTTTTGTTAGAAAAATCTCCACTCTACATCGGAGGTGACGAGCGGGAATGACCGGGGTTGTAGATAATCTACTAATTCTTCATTTCGTTTGTTGCATTTGGTCATACCCCACAGTTGATGGTAGTATCTCTAACTAGTCTGTGGTTGATGGTGGGCGTTGGAGTAGGTGCCGATGATCAGCGCCTTGTTGTAGATAAAACAAATTCTTGCTCTTAACTAGGTACAGCAACACACACAGCTAATTATAGTATGCGTTGCATGTTCTATCGAGTTAAAGGGATGGACCCAGTATTCTTTAATCTCTTTTAACGACTTCTTTTTTTCTTAACTTCGTATTAATTACTAACAAAACAAAGTAATCTCTCATTTGTTCGCACTTGGTCCGATTCGCAAAAGGACGGATTTTTTTCGCCGGAATACAAGAAAAACGCTTATGACACCAAGCTCTTTTCTGCAATAGTTTTATTTATAATAAAAACGAGTCGATAAAAAGTTTGAAAAATCTTACTAAAATCCAGAGATGTGACTTATCTGTAATATAAAAATGAATCGCTGAATGTGTTGCTAAGCGCAAATCTCGAGAACAGCTGAACCGATTATGATAATTCTTTTAGAATATTCCATGAAGTACGAGGATGGTTCTTACGGAGAGAAAATTTTAAAAAATTGCCTGAAAACGTCCAAAAATAACACTTTTCTATACTCCCTTACAAAAGATGCGTAATAATACTTAAAGGTCAATTTGAACTTAAATACCATACCATAAATTTCAAATGTTAGTGGAGAGGTTCCAGGAAGGCAAAACAATTGAGTGACGTGATGTCAATAGAAGTTTGGAAATGGTAATTAAAACATTTTAAGTTTTTTGTCCAAAGAATTTCAGTTTCAGCACCCTATCGGTTGGTTGGAGCGATACTTGTCAAGTAATTTTTTAATGACTGGACGCCATTTACACTTTGGATAATTTAATTTGTAAAAATAAATGGGGAGGGTTTGTAGTTGTACACATCCAGTAGGAAAACAATCTCCTCCGTACTTCGGAAGGCATTTGTGGGTCCCGCGTGGTGGGAAATGGCACATTCCCCTTTGCTATCCTAGGAAAGACCTGTGCGTGATTTAGCATTGAAGGCATTAATAGCCTGATGAGAATTGGGAGGCTAAAGCGACATTTGGGATAATTTGCTATTTTTGTTATAAACAGTAGGTTGTCCCTACAGATCTCTGTATCTATACTAATACTAGCAAACCCGGCGAACTCCGTTGCGCCACCAGATGGCTTCGTTTTATGTAACATTTCGTTTGGTGATTAAAAGAAGTTTTTTTTTTAATTTTTCCTGAATTTTCTTTGCTATAAACCTCACGGAGCCCGAGACCTTTCCAACGAATGTAAAACCGTGGAAATCGGTTCGTGCGTTCTGGAGTTATAGCGTCAGGAAGGAAAACCCGACTTATTTTTATATAGTAGATTAAGGAAAGATTTGATTGTTTGTTTGTATTGAATAGGCTCCGAAATTCACATTTAGAATTTTACATTATCTCCCTGATGAACATAGGCTATAGAGAATTTTCAAAAAGTTAGGGTTCCGTATGAAAAGATCGATAATGTAATCCAATGTGTGATAAAAATACCAAAAAACAACGTTATATCGCGAATTCATTGCCAATAGAACAAAGTGATGTAGTATTTTTTTATAGTGAACATCAATATCTTCAAAAAAGTCCGCGATACTATAAGGTTAACTATTACAGTTATGTCACAACTAGCAGTCCTGTGCAATTTCACCCGCGTTAATTTAAGGGAAAAGGTTAATACCCAACAAACATTATGGCTGCAAATAGAGCTTACTTTAGAACTTAAAGTGTAGTGAAGGTGGAGTAGTAGCTGCAAGTATAGATTGTAACCACAAAAGGGTGTTAGTAATAAAATTTAACGCTTATAGTGACAGAGCAAGTTTATAAGAGCAATGTATGAGTGGTAAAGCAGAAATTTTTATCCCTAAAATAAAGACCAAGGCTTCTGTGTTAAAGCTTTGAGCGAATCTTACGACTATAAGCTCCATATAAGAAATTAACATTTACTATTAACTTCTAAAGTTCTAAGCAAGCTACCACAAACTCTTTCGGATCGCTGATAGTTGCAAAAAAGGAGGAATCAACGCTACTAGCTCTACAATGGTGTTCATTAAATCTTTTATGTCACAAAACTCCTAAAGGGATACAAAACTCCCTTGTATAATTTTAGGCTGAATAGTAGGGATACTTCTCCCTATTAATAGAACTTGTAGTGTCAAGTATAGCTTCCATATTATTTAAGGTTCAATTATTGAGTTCGTTACCACTTTAGTACCTCTAATTGGTCACGTGTGCGTCATGTAAGAGAATGGAAACATCACAAGACGCGGTCAAGTGGGAGTCTTGCTTGAAGATGAGAGTTTCGTATGTAATGGAAATGATATCGCAGCTGCAAGTTTTGATATTTCCGAGGAGGACCGATGTTATTACTCATTGAGTAGTGGTGATGAGGATGATCCGAGGGAATATAATAAGAATTTTAATTTTAGTGAAAAATTGAGGACATGGGCGATTGAGAAAAATATTACACAACTGCTATGAAAGTTTTGCTGTTGATCTTAAATGACATATTTGGCATGATGATTTTGATTCATTCTGTGTTATATTTTAAATTAAACGCAAGTAATGTATGTCAATTTATTTTTATTTATCATGCACAATCATCTTGTTATTCTATAACTTTTTTTTTTTTTTTTAACTAACTAACAATATTGAAATAAAATTGAGTTCAGAAATTGTTTACATTATTATACAACAATTACAATAATTAAATGCGAATCACGTACTTTTTACTGGAATAGTGACATATAACATAACGTATTTATTCATATAATTAGTTCTTGGTTCTTGATATAAAAGTTTTGCATTATAATTATAGTACTTTCAACTTCTACAACAAGAACGTTTAATGTATGATGGTCAGTTAATAAATAAAATACTCATTGTTTTAATTAGCTTAAGAAAAAGAGCACTTGGATCATGATTAGGTTCTTCAATTAATCTGATTAATAATATATAAAATAACATCCTTATTGATAATTTTAGATAAGAAAAGTAAAACTAATGTTTTATTAAAAATAGATCCGTTTATCTGCTATAAATAGGAACATGTAAGTTACTTAGCAGTGAAAGCTTATGTATAACATATATTTAGGTTCTTAACTACTTGTAAACAATACATCTTTTAATAGAAAATAAGAAAAGATATTAGTACTTACCTATAATAGGTGCTATTTGGTAGTTTGGTATTCTATATAGCTAGTATTTATTTTAGAAATTAGTTTTTCTATTCAAAGACTTTTGTTTACATTTAGACTGGAACACAAAGAACTACTAAACATTTACCCCCTTATTAATAATCATGGACTATAGTTAATCGTGATTTAAAACTGATGCTAACTCTGTCTTACATTGAGCAAATGTAAGGGACAGCATCAGTTTTAAACTATTACTAATTTTAGTCCACGCTTATTAATAAGGGGGTTATTAGGATTATAGCAACAACTAGCTTAAAGTAAACAATTATATTTTTTTTGTCTTGGTTACAAAAATATATAATTTAATGGATAGGCTAGGTAACCACTAAGTTAACTATTCATAAAAAAAAATTAGAATTACATTGGTTATTGTATATTTGCTAATAACGAATGAGTTTAGCAATAAAAATAACCCTAGAAAATATTAATAAATTTAAAAAATTGCATAGGTACTCTTCTTCGACTTCGAATGTATCTTTACCTGGCGACGATCCACGAAGGAGACGAAGATGACGAAGTACTATGGAATCACTTCTGATTCCAGGTATCTTGCTGGATTGATTTTCAGCATTATTTTTAGCAGTTGCCGCGAATGCCACCATATTTACTTTCTGAACTGTAAAAATAAATTAGCTAATGTTAATTGAAAAGCGTATAATATGTTGCATTAATTACTGTTTGTCTTGATCTCACGAGGAACTCTAAATTTTTATCATGGCGCCAAAAATGATTTTTATAAGTAATACATTAACATAAGGCACTGTATTTATTTCCAAGCAATTCTATACTTTAAAGGATTTTTTATTACTTTTATATAGGGTGAAATTTTTTCGGAATTTTTAAAATATTTTTTTTCGTTTTTTATTTGGTTATTTTTTTGTCATTTCTTCCTTATGAGTAATTATTCATTTTAAACACGTCTACATAGAAGTTGTAAAACAACTTAAATTAAGTACTCCTAAAAAAACGGAAACTTAATGAATGCCTCCAGTCGAGATCAGCGGCGGCCAGGGCGACGACCGGCGGCCGCCTGTGTAGGTACCTACTACACGCACAGATGACTCGGCGCTTACCTACTTTCCGCTTTGATTCCATACTATTTAAAGACATTATAATAAAATAGTCTTAGATGCTATATTATAATTATTTATTCACTGATACACAATACCTTTGAATATTATTTCATAAAGCACAGGTAATTAATCAATAAAATAAATCTTCTGTTAGAGTAATTAAAAATCCTATAAAGTTAATATGACTGTCACGATTTTAAATCGGTAAAGCCTGTATGTTAGTGTAAGAACTGCTTTTTTATTGTTAATGTTAGTTGCTTCGTTTAGTTAAAACTTAAGAACAAACGGCTTATTTAAAATTGGGAATAATCATACAGAGCAAATCGGTATAACTTACGAGCTTAGTGAAGGAAGGAACTCTTCGTGTCTGATTTGCCCACGTCATGAAATTCCGAACACATTTAATCACAGCCACAGTCACACACACACATAATAATATGTTGTTTTGCGGCAAGCACGGGCGGGCGGCGCGCCGCACGCTGGCAAAAAACATGCAGCGCTAACGCCGGTTGCGGCGTCTTTGATGATGTGAATTCCGCCCACCTCCCCTCTTCCCCGCGTGCGGTGCTTTGCTTTGATTGCATGCAAAGTGCAGTCGCAAGAATATCAATCGCGCGTGGGCGTGCGCATCTTTTGACTTAGTGACATACACTGTGATAATTTCATTATGCCTCGGTATACAAACCAAGAATATTTAGAGATGGTGTACTGCTATCGCGAGTGTGTCGAAGTAGGTTTGGTTTACGAATGAGTCCCCAAACCATAGAAGTTGCATTTTGTGCAGTGAGTAGTAATAGGGACACTTTAAAAAAGGTGGAAAGACACGTCCGCAAACGTGCCTACCTTTGTTTGCAGCAAAATGGTGGTTTACAGCAACAATTTAAGTCTCTTTTTATTGCTAGTGTAAATACTTTTTGATTTGAAACAACTAATTAGTGTACTACCAGTGTGATTGATTTGATAAAAAGTTCTAGTGAAAAAAATGAATATGTTCCTCGTTGTACCTACCTACATCGCCGGTCTCGGAAGTACTGTCTAATATCTAGTTATAAATTATTATTAACTTTTTAGGTATTTTTCTCTGCCAATGAGAAGATAACACTTGTTCTTTATTTAAATAAATCTTTTATTGTAATATGGCATCTAAGGCCCG